GGGGGGAAAGGGGGGGAAAGGATCTCAGCAGGGAAAGGGGGGGAAAGATCTTAGGGAGGAAAGGGAGAAGATCTGGGGGCAAAGGCCTTAGGGGGGAAAGGGGAGAAATGATCTCAACAGGGAAAGGGGTGGAAAAGATCTTAGGGAGGCAAGGGAGAAGATCTGGGGGAAAAAAGGCCAACAGGGAAAGGGGGGAAAGATCTAAGGAAGGAAAAGGGAGAAGCTCTCAGGGGGGGGAAAGGCCTGAGGGGGGAAAGGGTGGGAAGGATCTCAACAGGGAAAGGGGGGAAACAATCTTAGGAAGGAAAAGGATCTTAAGGAGGAATATGGAGAAGATCTCAGCGGGGGGAAAGGCCGTAGGGGGGAAAGGGGGGAAAGGATCTCAACAGGGAAAGGGGGGGAAAGATCTCAGGGAGGAAAGGGAAAAGATCCCAGGGAGGAAAAGGCCTTAGGGGGGAAAGTGGGGGAAAGGGAGGAAAAGGGAGAAGATCTCAGGGGGGAAAAGGCCTTAGGGGGGAAAGGGGGGAAAGGATCTCAACAGGGAAAGGGGGGAAAACATCTTAGGGAGGAAAAGGGAGAAGATCTCAGGGGGGGAAAAGGCCTTAGGGGGGAAAGGGGGAAAGGATCTCAACAGGGAAAGGGGGGCAAAGATCTTAGAGGGGAAGGGGGGCAAGGGGATAATTCCAAAGGGACGCAAATAAGAAAGCAGGCCTGTAATGTCGGCGGCCTGAGCCGGAGGCGTTAAATAAATAAATATATATATATATATATGTATAAAGCGCGCGGCTCGAATTCGAATATTTCGAAAGGCCCCCTGTTGGTGAAGCCGTAACCGACGTGCGGCGCGAGCGGGCACTTCAGGGCCACCGGATGCTGCGCGTGAGGCACATGGAGCACCAGGTGGGTGATGTCGGAGTCCAGGCGCGCCTGAAGACAAGAATTGGACCGCAGGTTTTGGTCATGTTTCCATTTACCAGGGCAAGCCATTTTGGGTACCCTATTTTTGACCCACAGCCACATCAGCCAGCGCCCTGAAGGGATTCGAATGGGGGCCGTGGGTGAAACGGAAGCCTCGCATCTGTGATACAGAAAGAGCTTCCCAAAGACTTTTTCCCCCCATTCAAGGGGAAGATTCCAACTTGATTCACAGAAGTGGTTGGACAAACCTCCGTTTTCCAAGGGGAAGATTACAACTTGATTCACAGAAGTGGTTGGACAAACCTCAACTTGTATCACAGAAGTGGGGATAAACCTCCATGTTTCAAGGGGAAGATTGCAACTTGTAATTATCACAGAAGTGGTTGGATGAACCTATTGATCCCACAGCCCTGTTCCGTGCCAATTGAGCAGGTGCTGAATCCTTCTTGCTTGCTGTCCTGAAAGGTCTTCGACCACAAATTTATGGCAATGTGACGGGTGATGAACATATTTTTCCAACCGCAACCTTTGGATGAACAGCTGCTTCCAACCGCAACCTTTGGCATTTCCATAATCCTTTCTGCGACAAAGCTCAAGTACTCATGTGTCATCGCTATACTGCGTTCTCGCACACGCCTCCGCAAGCCGGGTGCGGTTGTCGTCAAGTAACACCTGAGCAAGCACTGCTTGGACTGGCCTGTCCACTGGTGCCTCATTGAAAGCGTTCTCTCGAGATTGCTGCACGCTGCAAATGCCGGCAACACCTCGTTTCAGCCACATAAAGTAGACTGTTGCATCGCGTGACAAGCACGCCAAGTATTGCTGATCATTCTAGCCCGTTTCAGCTCCTAACAAACACAACGGATCATCGTAGTCTCTTTCATCATTTTCATCGCATGTCGAGCACAACAACACATTGCACTGTAGACCATTGTAGTGAGCGTCATCGCATAGCAAACACGACAAAAAGGGCACGGCGGATTAGTCCATTTCATTGCATGACAAGCACAACCAACACGCAGAGTAGATCATGCCAACCCATTTCGTCTCATCGTCTGACAAGCGTGACACAAACATGCAAGTAGTTGTGGTATAGTGCATTGGCAAGCACGCTGCCCCACAAACATGCCATCGTCCTTGTCCTCACTGCCAACACTGAAAGTCTGACGGAGTTTCTTGGTAGCCTAGCCAAAGAAGAAGTCTCCTGACATGCACAGAAATGGAATACGATGCGGAATCCCGTTCCAACAATAGGTGTCCTTTTAGGGGAAATAGATGGGTTTCCCTGGTAGATGATGAAACCACCAGGTAAACCAGGAATCGCCATCTACTCTTCTTTACCAAAACCACCAAAAATTGGACACCTATGGTTCCAACTCCGAGTTGTCTCCTCGGAAACTTACCTGTTCCATGATGCATATATGTCTGTCTTGTTTTAGCAAAACAACCAACACCTATGGTTCCAACGATGTAGTTTCCTCCAGCGCATTTCGGCACACCTGGGGGCTCCGGCACAAACGTTGACGCCCGCCAGCAAGGCACGTGTAAACGCGCGCACGCAGGCCTCAAGGAATCGTCTGCCCTTGGCAGGACAAATGGCTGTGGTTTAACTTCATCCAGTATGAATAAACCGGAGGGCCCCCCCGGGCTGATGGGAACAAAATGTGTCCCATGTGGTAGTGAGTCAAAAACAGGGGAACCCCAACATGGGGCAAGCCCTGCTAAATGGAAACATGGACTAAAATCTGCGGTCCAATTCCTGGTGATTTAATATTGACCCACACCCGAATGAAAACAACAAAATCTCAAAGGGCTGAATGGCGCCTCGTTCTTTTGCAAGGACAAAGTGAGAAACTGATCTTGGGGCTTGTCACTGTTTGCAGTCCAGGCATTGATGTTGGGCGGTCATCTCCACAAGCAACTTGGCAATTGCTTGAAAATCGAAAGCAAGTCGGCTCGAACTTCTTCAAGGACCCCACATGCCCTTCACCAAACCAACAAATAAGTTCACGTTATGCTTCTTTTGGAGGTCGATGAGTCCATGTCGAAGGCAAAGCCTTGCTTCACACACATTCAACGGGGAGGGATCTTCTGAGATATTGCACTGTCCACAGTGAGCAACAACGAGTGAGTCATAACCAAAACCCGGTATTAAAATGGTCTACCCAGAACCATGCTTCAAGAATTAAGAAGGCGGCCGCAGCTGTTTCTGGTTGGGATCAAGTCTCTCATGCTGCGCCGTGCCTGCAAACAGCGCTGCTGGTCGTCCCGATCCTAGGATCTTGTGACTGTGCATAAGTAATCGATACATGGAACAAACTGATGACATCAGAAGGCTTCCTGCCAGCTTTTACACTTCTAAAGCTGAATGCATCTTCAGTTGACTCTACGCAGTTTGTGTGTTGTTGCTATTTTTTGCTGCTTTGAGCACCTTGGAGAACTTTGAGGAAGGAACATGTCTCAAAATCTGATCCATTCTCAGCCTATTCACCCTGGCAATGCAATCTCGTGTCGCAAACAAATTCGCGATTTCACGCAGGCACCACCTGAGTCACCATCAAAACCCGGTATTAAAATGGTCTACCCAGAACCATGTAAAGAACTAAGAAGGCGGCCGCAACTACTTATTGCTGAGATCGTTCCTTACTAACCTTCACTTACCCGGGTTTTGATTGTGGCCCACTTCTCTGTCAACGGGCCCCCAGCGCGCGCGGAGGTGGGAGAGAGAACTCCGCTCGCTGCCTGAACAAGCAAATACCGATAGCACTCTTGCCTGCACGGCTTGCATCTCTCACAGCCGGCCGCAACTTGGGCGACTCCTCTCAGCTGCAAGAGCTATCAATTTTGGCGGAGTCAGCATTGTTTGTCTCGACTTTAAGCACGATTCATGGCAGGCAAAGCCCCGAATTCGGAGCAGGAACCGGAAAACTTCGGAGCAGCCCCTGTCTTCTCCAACTCTTTCCATTCCGCTGGCATGCTTGATCTTCGAACTTGAGTGGGGTCTCAGTGTCGATGGCCCGAAGTTGTAAGCTACTGAGGTACTGCAAGTTGCCAGTCACCATCATGTGCTTGATCTCCAAACTCACTTGCCCAAAGGATCTCTCTCTAAAAGCTTCACCTTCTGGGGCCAGACCGAAAAATGGGATCCCAAACCGGGAAAAGCGAAAAAAAAGAAAAACAAGAGAGGCCATTTCAGGTCGATTCGCTTTGAAAGCCACGGATCGCACACCAAACCGCATGGCCTCCGGATCTTCTTCTCCAAACCTCAGGGCCCCAGCGCCTTCCGCGCCTCCAGCACCTTCCTCTGAGCTCCGTCGAACTCTGGTGGCACCTGACGAAACGCCGACGCGTCAGACCCCCAGTGGTCCGAGTCCCAGTGGCGCGAGGCGCGCGCGAGATGCGTACGCCACGACAAAAAGGCAAGTGGGCTCGCAAATTCTGAACTCTTGAGAAGCTTGCGGCAAGAGTCGCCAAGCCAAAGGTCTCACAAGCTCTCAGCAGTGATGGAATGTTATCGTCTGAAAAACCACATGCTGACAGCTCAAGCCCAATTCCCAACTGCTCCGCAAAGCCGAAAACAGTCAGCCCCAACGTCTATCGGGTAGCAAATTGTAGATGGGAAGTTATCTTGATGCAACGTGCAAGCCATGACTATGTAACACAGCCAAGCTTGCCACAACCTCCGCACATTGGAACACGCCGCTGCCCTCATGCTCTATCAATATGCCAGACCATCCGTGCGTGGGTGTAGAGACAGCTCAAAAAAGCATGTCCTTGCTAGTTGATTGCAGTACATGGCCAACAAACTTGGCCCACTTGAACTGCTACTGGCTGTGGTCTGAAGCTCGCCTTCTCTTACAAATGGATAAACTCACAGAACTAGAACTGACAACCTCACTGATGTTGAAATATGTATTCCTCTTGTCACTTGAAATCAGATACAGGAAACGACTGCCGAGCCTGGAGCGAACGGAAGTTGCCAGCTGGCCCTGGCTCGGGAGAAACGCCGCAACGGCCAAGTGCTGAGTTTTTCCCTGCCTCCCCGAATGCTGCCGAAAAAACCTGAACTGTCACACAGTTACTGGGAGTTGCCTCTCCCTGCAAAGGAGGCCTTTTTATATCTCAAAGCCGCGCCCGCTGAGAATTCCGGCGCTGGACACTTGTCAACCCTGCCTGCCGCCAGTGTGAAGAGTCAAACAGTCTGCATGGCCTCCCTGAAACTGAGAGGAAAAACGTCAACACGCTTCTAGGCTGGAATTCGGACCCCAGCAAAAAAAGACATCTTTTTGCCTGGTGAGTGGAAAACAAAGGGACCCCAAAAAAGCAAAAAAGGAAAAAAAAAAGGAGCTAATTCTGGGGAAGGCTTCTGCTCGATGCATCGCTACATCGCTTGCCGAACTCGGAGGACCAACAAGCCTGCATGTCTCACGAGGGGGCAGCACGCCAGCAGCTTCAAAGCCAAAACACCAACACCCCGCGAGTTACGTTCAACCAGACCCAGAGCGACATTTGGCTCCTTGAGGCAAATGCCAGTCAGCCAATGTTGACCCCATATTTATCAACCCCAGTTTATTAACAAGGGGGGTAGCCTGGTTTTAGTGGGGCCCCATTCAACAAACTGGGGTTTACTAATATGGGGGCAACATTATGCCAGCTATGCTAGTTGTGCCTTGAGCTCTGCCTCCACCCACCACTCACCCCTAGTCAGAAGGTCTGAAGAAAGGCCCGTGTCACATCTCATCAAGCCAATCATAGTGGGCAATGGCAGAGTCGAGCCTTTGCTAAACCTACATGCATGAATTACTCGCTAATCTGCCATATAATCTTAAAAAAAAAAAAAAAAACGGCTACATGGCTGCTGAATCTAACAGAGTGGCGTGACCTGACTGGCTTGTTGCATGCTTGGCCGCATGCTTGACCATACCAATCCAACAACCTGGGTATGGGTCAAAGTTAAACCGTTAGGGGAACGCAGGTTTTCGTCCTTGTTTTCATTTGCCAGGGTTCCATTTTGGGGTTTCCCTGTTTTTGACCCACACCCATCTGGCTGCCCAACCTGGATGCTGTCCCCTGCCTGCAGAGGACGGCGCTGAAACCTGACAGTCGAATCAGACCGCATGAGCATGAGGGCGTTTGTCCTGCCGTACTCTGCAAACCAGCCCACCAGACAAAACAGATTGGTTGGCGGCTGCGAAAACAGCGCGAGGCATCACCATCTTCAATTACCTTCATGGTCTTTCACCGGAAGGCATGCAATAGCTGGCCAATCACACAGCAATGGGTAACATGTGTTGAGGGCCGCTGCGTCCCTGAAGCAATGACCGAGTTGTTCGGTGCGCACAGTGAAATGGCAACAAGGACTGGGCATGGCTTTCTCCACCTGTGGCTCAAAATTCAAGAGCCAGGTTATGCAGGTTTTAATTGTTGTCGTTGCTTCCCTTTACCCACATATATATATATATATATACATATATATGTATTAGGGGGTTGTTTCCCTGTACCAAGCGCCCAGGCTGGGTACACTCACGGGCCATTGTGGGGATTCCACTTTCTGCGCCACAGCCTGTCAATGAACTCCACGCCTTGACTTCGCCTCGATCTTTGCCTACCGACAAGTTGGCCTGGGCAACGTCGCCATTTTCGGGGTTGCCCCCTATGGACCCACCTAGGAACATCGGCCCCCTATGGGGTTTCCCTTGACACAGACCCAAGGGCAGTTTCTTTTTCTAGGACCGCAAGAAGTATCCAGAGACGTTGAACATCCACGTGATCGTGACGAGGTACGCAGTCCAGAACCAAATCTGGCAAGAATCAGCCCAAGGCATGTGCACGAACCGTCTGCCAGCCACAATCCAGCCATAACAGGAGACAATCCAGTCAAGTACACTCGGCAACATGGAGGTTTGCGATCTTGAGGATTCGGCCCGCTCTAGCCTCTCGACAAGGGCCTCAGCTCAGCCATCAATACTATCTACGCATCTCGGGGAATCCTTCGACAAGAAGACATATCCTTTCACTCGGCTTCCTGCCGTCATTTTGCGGAATCTCCGGATACTAGCAAAGAGTGATGTTCTGTAGTGACCGACAAGCACAACAATGGAAGCTGACTCCAACAAAAGGACGCCGATTTGCCTCACATGCAGCTACCCTCCGACATGCTTGAATGCAACAAGTTCCATGCAGATTCATTTGTATTAACAGAAGCCTGATGGCTCCTTTGAACGACCTTTTCTCCATGTTTGCGCAGTTGACTGTTCGCATCTTGAAGGATCCTATCCATGCACATTCATTTGGCCATGGCTCAAAATCCCGTACCCCCAGTGAACATCCCAATTCCCACTAAAATAGACTAGAATGGGTGGTGCACCTTCCCCAAAATGGGATCCCATTGGCTTTGACCCACATTCCTTTGAAACGATCGCTTCCTCGGAGAGCACATGAGCATGCGTCACACGCCATGCAAACCTGCCATGGATTCACCTCGCAGACACCAGCAAAGCATAGTATGACACGCTGTGTTCGCACGTGACACCGCGTGGATTGGCCTGTTGGTCATGAGGTTTGGGAGTGATGACTAGGTCACGCTCCTGGCGAAGTTGAGTTTGGACCCCAACAAGATTTGCTACAGAATTAGGACGCCTGCATGGATGTGTTGTGCGTGTGTTTGAGGTGAAGGAGCTCGACTAAAGGCCAAACTTGCCGAACTGATGCCCCCCACAGAGGTGAGCAGCTCGTCCTCCTGGCAAAAACAGAATTCACATGGCCATGGTGCACCTACCCCAAAATGGTACCATTGGTGTTGACCCACAGCCACACTGGTCAAACATGCCTAAACATGATACATGAAATCGTCAAGTCCTAGCTTCGATCATCTTCCTCAATGCGGAGACATGGGCTGTGGAGGCTCCCCTTGCAGAACGCCTGTGCGAAATCCCTGTGTCGAGCGTGTGAAGCATGCAAGCTCCGCGTGTGTAGCTGTGGGTGGGCGTGGGGCGTGGACGTGGATGTGAGCGTACAAGCGTGTGAGCATGTGAGCATGGTCTGTTTGTGAACCTGGTGCCTTGCTCAGTTGGGTCGCTTCATGCACTCATGGTACTCAACATGATGTAAAAGTTGTACTATAATTCCAGAAGCTGAACTAAGACATCCCCAAATCAAGGGCCTTTCTCATGGTGAGCTTGTTATACCCGCTTAAAATAGGCAGATATGATGGCAGTCAGATTGACGAATATGTCAAGCATGACGGCCTCCTTTTGGTTCTGGGCTGAGGCAGTTGCAAGTTGGCAACGCCAAAGGCTTGCTGATTCCAAAGGGCTACCCCGTCCACTGTGACTCGTGCGGCAGAAACCCACAATCTAAATTGGTGCCCGTATTGAACACTACTTTGAGCGGTTCAAAAGGTAGGGAAGGTGGCCAGGCCACATCGCGCTATTTCCAACTCGAGAGCTTGTAAACAATCATACTTGGACTTGATCCAAATCTTTTCAGCATCCTATTCTGATTATTCACGCGGAAAAGCACGCTTTACCAAGTGTGCCAGTCAACACTTCCTAGCGTTTTGAAGGAATTAGCAATCTTGCGCGGCTGACCTACAGGCATCGATGACAGGTGGTCGTCTGAGCTGCCACATAGGTTTGTAAATCTTTGAGGGTACCTGCTTGTGTTTCAAAGCTGCTTGTTTTTCAAAGGAAAACCAAAAGAAGCCTCTCTTTTTTTTTTGGGGGGGGGGTCCAGTAAAAAAAGACACTCCCACATTGACGCAAAGCAACGGTTATCTCTGCCGGTTTCCCGCCTTGCAGTTGTAGCATGCCGCTTCTCCCCGGCATGAGCCAACGAAAGCCTGGCGGCGTTTTTGTTCCGTGTTCCCGACTTGTCGGTTGCTTTCTGCTCCCCTGCTAAAAGTTTAACTTTTAGTGGTTTAATGGGAAACCCATTAGTTGGCAAAAAGTTAAAGTCCGAACATCCAAGCAAAATGCACCAATCAACTTGGTGAAGGCTGGGTTGCACCTTCAAGCATCAAGCCCATGCTGCGGAACAAGCAAGTCCGATTCTCCCAGGCGACTTTGGAAGTTGCGAGGTGTCCTTCTTGGTGATGGCGAGCAGGCGATTCACAGGGTTGAGGTGTTTAAACCCCACACATTGGCATGGGCGAGTGAAAGCGTGTGCAGCTTCTGGCTGGCACGGCATCGTAATGCTGCACCAGCTAAAGTGAGCCACAATTGATGTTGCCAGGATACGAGTGGATATGTAGGTCCACCTTGGGTTGGCTCCTTTCTGGCACAGCACGCTCATTATGCAAAGGACGCATTTCTGGCCTTCAACTGGAATGGATTGCTGCAAGCCATCGCTAGCCGTTGAGACCTGGAAACTGCTTGGAATTGACCTTCGATCCGATCGATACAAGCTGCTTGCGGCCAGCCGCAAGTGGCCAAGGGGGCGAACGGGAAATGAATTCACGCCCCGCCTGCGACCTCAATGGATTTTTGGTCGCTACCGCCAAAATACGTGTTTCTGGAAGGCAACACGTGTCAGGTGCTTTCAAGCCGAACAGCCGGAAAAAAAAGAGGCTCATTCAACCTCGCAAACAGCACCGGGCCCCTCCAGCCAAAAACACCCGGCGGCCTCAAGTATGGAGGCCATTCGTGGGCATGACATGCTTCATCGGCCCCATTGGCAGGTGCCCACCTCTTGTCTTGACGCGCGAGTCGGTGATCTTCGGGAAAAAAAACTAAGATGAGGTGCTCAATAAAGTTGATGCCCCGTGTATCTTACATGGCAGGTGTCCCTTTTTTGGGGGGGCTGGATTCGATTGCCTGGATCCCTGTGGCATATGACGTTGCACCGATTTGTTTGCTCTTTGGCAAATGGATGCCACCAGCTGCCAAGTTTGAGCCACACACGTGAGCCAAGCCGATAAACAGAGAGTATCAACCAGTCCTGCTTCGACTAGCACGGGCAGCAGAAACAACACGGGCTCGATCTATTTTGGCTGCACGAGTCGAGAAGTCGCAGAAAAGTTATGCTGATGTAAGCAGAAAAGATCATAGATGCAGACTCTGAGACTCACTTGAAGCCATCTCCGAAGAGGACAACAGCAACACAGCGATTACCGCATCCGAGAGCCTTTCTTGCACTGTGCAAACTGATCCGACAGCTCAAGAGAGTCTCAACCGCAGAAAGCGAACAGCCCAAGAGGACTCCTTTTTGGAACAGGAAAGAAACACGGTCGCAATAGAAGCGCACGAGCGCCTGGCAAAACATGAGCAGCCGTTCTTCGGCCCAGGAACTGAATGCAGCGAGCTTTCAAGGCCGCCTCACGTGCGTGGAGAAAAATGCAGGAGGCTCCCTCCACTTTTAGTAGTTGTGCAGACGTTTCAGCAATTATTTGAATGGGCTCTCCTGGGCCAGTTCCCAGAAAGGGCTGTAAGTAGCAGAAGTCAAACGTCAGCTTTGAGAATGTCTAGTTTATCATAAGGCTTTACAAACTGGCCTGGAATATTGCTTTAGACTTATTTCTTGCTACCATACCAAACAAACACTTTTCTCTATTCTTTACACTTTGTTATTTCAGGTCGTGGAATAATTGGGAAACTTCTTTAACGTCTCCCCATCCCCTGACGATACTGCATTCATGTTGGTCTTCTCGGCAAGAGCCATCGTCTTGAGTTTATGGAAAGCGGCGAACGGGGTGTTTCTCTCAGATCTCCTGTTTGTTGAATCATTCTTCGCTATTTGATCCCAACATGCCTTCAACTTGAGGCTATGCGCTGCTGCTGCCCTTGGTTTTGAGCTGATTCTCAGTTCAAATTGTACAGCTTTTCTCTGGTCATCTCCAATTACTTTGTTCTGCAGGCCCCTATACTCACTTCCCGAGTGGATTGGATTTACCACTAAAATGGTCTTCCCAAAAAAGTATAAAGTCCGGGAACTCAGGAAGTGCGTATGCTAATCACTACACCTTAATACGGATGACTTTGCAGGGATTTTTGCAGCCAAAACCTGTCTTTGACCCTGCAGCTGCTAACAAGGCACTCAGCGCAAAGGCGAGGCTGTGTAGAGGCCCTGAGCCGGGGAGAAAAAAACACACACACACACACACACACACACAGACACAGACACAGACACAGACACAGACACAGACACAGACACAGACACAGACACAGACACAGACACAGACACAGACACAGACACAGACACAGACACAGACACAGACACAGACACAGACACAGACACAGACACAGACACAGACACAGACACAGACACAGACACAGACACAGACACAGACACAGACACAGACACAGACACAGACACAGACACAGACACAGACACAGACACAGACACAGACACAGACACAGACACAGACACAGACACAGACACAGACACAGACACAGACACAGACACAGACACAGACACAGACACAGACACAGACACAGACACAGACACAGACACAGACACAGACACAGACACAGACACAGACACAGACACAGACACAGACACAGACACAGACACAGACACAGACACAGACACAGACACAGACACAGACACAGACACAGACACAGACACAGACACAGACACAGACACAGACACAGACACAGACACAGACACAGACACAGACACAGACACAGACACAGACACAGACACAGACACAGACACAGACACAGACACAGACACAGACACAGACACAGACACAGACACAGACACAGACACAGACACAGACACAGACACAGACACAGACACAGACACAGACACAGACACAGACACAGACACAGACACAGACACAGACACAGACACAGACACAGACACAGACACAGACACAGACACAGACACAGACACAGACACAGACACAGACACAGACACAGACACAGACACAGACACAGACACAGACACAGACACAGACACAGACACAGACACAGACACAGACACAGACACAGACACAGACACAGACACAGACACAGACACAGACACAGACACAGACACAGACACAGACAGACAGACACAGACACAGACACAGACACAGACACAGACACAGACACAGACACAGACACAGACACAGACACAGACACAGACACAGACACAGACACAGACACAGACACAGACACAGACACAGACACAGACACAGACACAGACACAGACACACACACAGACACAGACACACACAGACACACACAGACACACACAGACACACACAGACACACACAGACACACACAGACACACACAGACACACACAGACACACACAGACACACACAGACACACACAGACACACACAGACACACACAGACACACACAGACACACAGACACACACAGACACACACAGACACACACAGACACACACAGACACACACAGACACACACAGACACACACAGACACACACAGACACACACAGACACACACAGACACACACAGACACACACAGACACACACACACACAGACACACACAGACACACACAGACACACACAGACACACACAGACACACACAGACACACACAGACACACACAGACACACACAGACACACACAGACACACACAGACACACACAGACACACACAGACACACAGACACACACAGACACACACAGACACACACAGACACACACAGACACACACACACACACACACACACACACACACACACACACACACACACACACACACACACACACACACACACACACACACACACACACACACACACACACACACACACACACACACACACACACACACACACACACACACATTCACACACACACACATTCACACACACACACACACGACTCGCGTACGGCAGTTTCTCATCAAACGCTGGCCAAACATGTTGCGCAAATGCAAACTTCCTGCTACCCATGATTTGAGCAATAGTTGTCAAATGCTCTGTGCAATTGCCGCCTTCCTGTTCTTTGAGATCCGAGCTAGAGATTTGGTGGCTGTATTATTTCTGCCGGCCAACACCATGCCCAAATCTCTCATGACGGGGTTGCAGCTGAAGCAAAAAAAGGAACAACGATGCTGAGAGGCTTTCTCTCAGGGTGAGGGCCTATCTTTTAATAAACGAAACAAACTCCTAAATCAATTGCCCTCCCTCCCACTAACATAGCAACTGTGGGAGGGTACCTGGAAGATCAATTTCCTCTTGTAGGGACCCCCTGTCAGGTGCCAAGTTAGTGGAGGGCACCCTTTGCCGGTGCGATAGGTAGGGAATGAAGGAATGAAGGAATGAAGGATGGGGATTCCCTTCCAGGAAATCACCAGTTGGATGGTTTATAGGGGGTCATTCCATGTCTCATTCCCTGCTGAGCACCAGGTTTAAAGGTACCCCTCCATCTTTCCAAGCGAATGACGGGAAGCTTAGCTCTCAGCTTGGATCCTCAGGGCCCCGCCCAGTCGCCCCAGGCAGAGCCGGTGAGGCCATCCTGGAAGAACATGCCGATGATGGCCTCATGGCACCAAACCAGGACCGCAGGTTGGATCGTCCTGGCTTCCATTTGGGCGAGGCAAAGTTGCACACATGGGGATACGCAGGTTTTGGTCCTATCCCCTTAGGTGCCGTTTTTTGGGCGCCTTTTGTTGAGCCACAGCCATTTACATTGAGTGTTGGCCCAAAAATGGGGGTCATACGATTGTTGACCCGCAGTGGATCCAGGCTGAGTCAGGCACCGGTGAAGTAGCACAACCAAAAGGCAGGGTTCACTTGTTAGTCTGGGCTCTGCGGCCAACTGCCATATTTTTCCCTGGCGAGCACCGGCCCACGCGGAATATGGATTGGATGCCCAGCAGACCTCACCCTGCATCCTAGAAAACGGTACTAGGAGTTTTGTAGCTTGCAATCATGAAGTCTTGTTGTGACACGTTTATACATCCTTGAGGCATGAATCAAGCTGCTGCTGAGTCGCCATCATCGCCAGTCTTCCGTTGGCCAACTCGGCCGCAAGCTTGGACTTGCGGGCCTCAGGGTCCTCGACCTTGCCCAGGAAGGTGGGGAAGCCAACACCATAGTTGCCCGGCTCAGCGGACTCAGTGGAGTCCTTCATGGAGAACTGGCCCTCACGAGGGCCCCGGCCGTCAGTGGTGGAAGACGCCTGGAAGAACCCAGTGGTCTCGATCAGGCCGCAGAAGGCAATGATCTGAGCTCCACCCAGCACTGGCACCCTCAGTACACATCCAGTTGGCAAGCGTGGCAACCATTCCCTCATCACGGCTAAATGTATTGAATTCTTAGCCATCTTCAAGCTGTCTGCTTTCTGCTTCAGGCGCAGCAGCAATAGTTACTGAGGTTCAGGCTTGGACAGGGCTGCCAGGCCGTTCGGCACGTCAGCGAACTTCAAACCAAGGGAAGGACTCAAAAATCCTGGGAACTTGAAGTACTCAGGGGTGATGTAGCCCATGCAGGCATACATGGCCTCATGACAATTAAAAACCGCCAAACGTCAGAGTCAACCCAGCTTTCCTAACAGTGTGCTCAGAGTGCAACGTCTTGCTTTTGGCTCTTAATCTCTTAGCTTCCCAAAGAATGCCCGTTATGATTGCTCCTGATGCAGCTCAGGGCCCGACAATGCGGCCATGCTTGATCTCCACTGCCCTGCGGCGCTTGAAGGTTGCCTCATCCTTGTCCGCGCTCAGTCCGAGCGGGTCCCAGAAGCCCACGGGATCCTGCACGCCGAGCTCCGTGGCAGGGTCGAAGCTAGCGCTGGAAGTAGAGCCGCCACCGAAGAAGTTGCGTGCAACCTTGGGCTCCCTTGCCCTCAACGGCGAGGAGGTGTACAGGCTCCAGTCGCCCCAGGCCGAGCCGGTCAAGCCATCTTGGAAAAACATGCCGATGATCGCCTGCGGGCATCGACAAATTCCGTGCTCATTTACAGAGGCACCAGAAACTGCATTGCTGCTGTGAGCACACAAAGAGTCAACGCCTGAAAGGGGTTCGTTGTACTTTGAATTCCGTGCTGCGTACTGCCTTCACGCGTCTGGCATGTAGAGACAGACATGGCTACTAGTACTTCCCTTCCGCATGTGTGGAGATTCGCCCTGGAAGTCAGTACATGCATACATGGCTCCCATTCAAACCACATGCACGCATGCTCTCCGCCAACGCTTCATCAGCCAAGATTGCCAAAGAGTCAAACAGGCAACAACTCTACACAACCGAGCTCACACCATGCCCACTGCCCTGCAACTGCAACTCGCTGTTGCTTCAGCGAGCTCTTGCCGCACGAATCAAGCTGCTGCTGAGTGGCCATCATCGCCAGTCTTCCGTTAGCCAACTCAGCCGCAAGCTTGGACTTGCGGGCCTCAGGGTCCTCGACCTTGCCCAGGAAGGTGGGGAAGCCAACGCCGTAGTTGCCCGGCTCAGCGGACTCAGTGGAGTCCTTCATGGAGAACTGGCCCTCACGAGGGCCCCGGCCGTCAGTGGTGGAAGACGCCTGGAAGAACCCAGTGGTCTCAATCAGTCCGCAGAACGCGATGATCTGAGCTCCACCCAGCACTGGCACCCTGAGGACACATCCAGTTGACAAGCGTGGCAACCATTCCCTCATCACGGCTAAATTTATTGAATTCTTAGCCATCTTCAAGCTGTCTGCTTTCTGCTTCAGGCGCAGCAGCAATAGTTACTAAGGTTCAGGCTTGGACAGGGCTGCCAGGCCGTTCGGCACGTCAGCGAACTTCAATCCAAGGGAAGGACTCAAAAATCCTGGGAACTTGAAGTACTCAGGGGTGATGTAGCCCATGCAGGCATACATGGCCTCATGACAATTAAAAACTGCCAAACGTCAGAGTCAACCCAGCTTTCCTAACAGTGTGCTCAGCGTGCTCGCAACGTCTTGCTTTTGGCTCCTAATCTCTTGGCTTCCAAAAGAATGCCCATTATGATTGCTCCTGATGCAGCTCAGGGCCCGACAATGCGGCCATGCTTGATCTCCACTGCCCTGCGGCGCTTGAAGGTTGCCTCATCCTTGTCCGCGCTCAGTCCGAGCGGGTCCCAGAAGCCCACGGGATCCTGCACGCCGAGCTCCGTGGCAGGGTCGAAGCTAGCGCTGGAAGTAGAGCCGCCACCGAAGAAGTTGCGTGCAACCTTGGGCTCCCTTGCCCTCAACGGCGAGGAGGTGTACAGGCTCCAGTCGCCCCAGGCCGAGCCGGTCAAGCCATCTTGGAAAAACATGCCGATGATCGCCTGCGGGCATCGACAAATTCCGTGCTCATTTACAGAGGCACCAGAAACTGCATTGCTGCTGTGAGCACACAAAGAGTCAACGCCTAAAGGGGGTTCGTTGTACTTTGAATTCCGTGCTGCGTACTGCCTTCACGCGTCTGGCATGTAGAGACATGGCTACTAGTACTTACATTCCGCATGTGTGGAGATTCGCCCTGGAAGTCAGTACATGCATACATGGTTCCCATTCAAACCACATGCACGCATGCTCTCCGCCAACGCTTCATCAGCCAAGATTGTCAATCAATCAAAACTGCGGCAACAACTCTACACAACCGAGCTCACACCATGCACTCTGCCCTGCAACTGCAACTTGCTGTTGCTTCAGCGAGCGCTTGCCGCATGAATCAAGCTGCTGCTGAGTCGCCATCATCGCCAGTCTTCCGTTGGCCAACTCGGCCGCAAGCTTGGACTTGCGGGCCTCAGGGTCCTCGACCTTGCCCAGGAAGGTGGGGAAGCCAACGCCGTAGTTGCCCGGCTCGGCGGACTCAGTGGAGTCCTTCATGGAGAACTGGCCCTCACGAGGGCCCCGGCCGTCGGTGGTGGAAGACGCCTGGAAGAACCCAGTGGTCTCAATCAGACCGCAGAACGCGATGATCTGAGCTCCACCCAGCACTGGCACCCTCAGTACACATCCAGTTGACAAGCGTGGCAACCATTCCCTCATCACGGCTAAATTTATTGAATTCTTAGCCATCTTCAAGCTGTCTGCTTTCTGCTTCAGGCGCAGCAGCAATAGTTACTGAGGTTCAGGCTTGGACAGGGCTGCCAGGCCGTTCGGCACGTCAGCGAACTTCAAACCAAGGGAAGGACTCAAAAATCCTGGGAACTTGAAGTACTCAGGGGTGATGTAGCCCATGCAGGCATACATGGCCTCATGACAATTAAAAACTGCCAAACGTCAGACGCAACCCAGATTTCCTAACAGTGTGCTCAGAGTGCTCGCAACGTCTTGCTTTTGGCTCTTCATCTCTTGGCTTCCCAAAGAATGCCCGTTATGATTGCTCCTGATGCAGCTCAGGGCCCGACAATGCGGCCATGCTTGATCTCCACTGCCCTGCGGCGCTTGAAGGTTGCCTCATCCTTGTCCGCGCTCAGTCCGAGCGGGTCCCAGAAGCCCACGGGATCCTGCACGCCGAGCTCCGTGGCAGGGTCGAAGCTAGCGCTGGAAGTAGAGCCGCCACCGAAGAAGTTGCGTGCAACCTTGGGCTCCCTTGCCCTCAACGGCGAGGAGGTGTACAGGCTCCAGTCGCCCCAGGCCGAGCCGGTCAAGCCATCTTGGAAAAACATGCCGATGATCGCCTGCGGGCATCGACAAATTCCGTGCTCATTTACAGAGGCACCAGAAACTGCATTGCTGCTGTGAGCACACAAAGAGTCAACGCCTAAAAGGGGTTCGTTGTACTTTGAATTCCGTGCTGCGTACTGCCTTCACGCGTCTGGCATGTAGAGACATGGCTACTAGTACTTACATTCCGCATGTGTGGAGATTCGCCCTGGAAGTCAGTACATGCATACATGGTTCCCATTCAAACCACATGCACGCATGCTCTCCGCCAACGCTTCATCAGCCAAGATTGTCAATCAATCAAAACTGCGGCAACAACGCTACACAACCGAGCTCACACCATGCACTCTGCCCTGCAACTGCAACTTGCTGTTGCTTCAGCGAGCGCTTGCCGCATGAATCAAGCTGCTGCTGAGTCGCCATCATCGCCAGTCTTCCGTTGGCCAACTCGGCCGCAAGCTTGGACTTGCGGGCCTCAGGGTCCTCGACCTTGCCCAGGAAGGTGGGGAAGCCAACACCGTAGTTGCCCGGCTCAGCGGACTCAGTGGAGTCCTTCATGGAGAACTGGCCCTCACGAGGGCCCCGGCCGTCAGTGGTGGAAGACGCCTGGAAGAACCCAGTGGTCTCAATCAGGCCGCAGAACGCGATGATCTGAGCTCCACCCAGCACTGGCACCCTCAGTACACAGCCAGTTGACAAGCGTGGCAACCATTCCCTCATCACGGCTAAATTTATTGAATTCTTAGCCATCTTCAAGCTGTCTGCTTTCTGCTTCAGGCGCAGCAGCAATAGTTACTAAGGTTCAGGCTTGGACAGGGCTGCCAGGCCGTTCGGCACGTCAGCGAACTTCAAACCAAGGGAAGGACTCAAAAATCCTGGGAACTTGAAGTACTCAGGGGTGATGTAGCCCATGCAGGCATACATGGCCTCATGACAATTAAAAACCGCCAAATGTCAGAGTCAACCCAGCTTTCCTAACAGAATGCTCAGAGTGCTCGCAACGTCTTGCTTTTGGATCTTCATCTCTTAGCTTCCCAACTAATGCCCGTTATGATTGCTCCTGATGCTGCTCAGGGCCCGACAATGCGGCCATGCTTGATCTCCACTGCCCTGCGGCGCTTGAAGGTTGCCTCATCCTTGTCCGCGCTCAGTCCGAGCGGGTCCCAGAAGCCCACGGGATCCTGCACGCCGAGCTCCGTGGCAGGGTCGAAGCTAGCGCTGGAAGTAGAGCCGCCACCGAAGAAGTTGCGTGCAACCTTGGGCTCCCTTGCCCTCAACGGCGAGGAGGTGTACAGGCTCCAGTCGCCCCAGGCCGACCCGGTCAAGCCATCTTGGAAAAACATGCCGATGATCGCCTGCGGGCATCGGAATTGGTCGTGCTCATTTACAAAGGCACCAGAAACTGCATTGCTGCTGTGAGCACACAAAGAGTCAACGCCTAAAAGGGGTTCGTTGTACTTTGAATTCCGTGCTGCGTACTGCCTTCGCACGTCTGGCACGTAGAGACATGGCTACTAGTACTTACATTCCGCATGTCTGGAGATTCACTCGCAACGACGCTACATGTGTACACTCCCTTTGAAACCACATGCAGCAAATGTGCATGCATGCTCTCCGCCAACGCTTGAACACCTTGATCACAGCAAAGATTGTCAAAGAGTCAAACATGAGACAACAACTCTAAAGCAACAAGCTCTCACCATGCTCACTGCCCTGCAACTGCAACTCGCTGTTGCTTCAGCCACGCTTCGAACGCTTGCCGCACGAATCAAGCTGCTGCTGAGTCGCCATCATCGCCAGTCTTCCGTTGGCCAACTCGGCCGCAAGCTTGGACTTGCGGGCCTCAGGGTCCTCGACCTTGCCCAGGAAGGTGGGGAAGCCAACACCGTAGTTGCCCGGCTCGGCGGACTCAGTGGAGTCCTTCATGGAGAACTGGCCCTCACGAGGGCCCCGGCCGTCAGTGGTGGAAGACGCCTGGAAGAACCCAGTGGTCTCAATCAGGCCGCAGAACGCGATGATCTGAGCTCCACCCAGCACTGGCACCCTCAGTACACATCCAGTTGGCAAGCGTGGCAACCATTCCCTCATCACGGCTAAATTTATTGAATTCTTAGCCATCTTCAAGCTGTCTGCTTTCTGCTTCAGGCGCAGCAGCAATAGTTACTAAGGTTCAGGCTTGGACAGGGCTGCCAGGCCGTTCGGCACGTCAGCGAACTTCAAACCAAGGGAAGGACTCAAAAATCCTGGGAACTTGAAGTACTCAGGGGTGATGTAGCCCATGCAGGCATACATGGCCTCATGACAATTAAAAACCGCCAAATGTCAGAGTCAACCCAGCTTTCCTAACAGAATGCTCAGAGTGCTCGCAACGTCTTGCTTTTGGCTCTTCATCTCTTAGCTTCCCAACTCATGCCCGTTATGATTGCTCCTGATGCTGCTCAGGGCCCGACAATGCGGCCATGCTTGATCTCCACTGCCCTGCGGCGCTTGAAGGTTGCCTCATCCTTGTCCGCGCTCAGTCCGAGCGGGTCCCAGAAGCCCACGGGATCCTGCACGCCGAGCTCCGTGGCAGGGTCGAAGCTAGCGCTGGAAGTAGAGCCGCCACCGAAGAAGTTGCGTGCAACCTTGGGCTCCCTTGCCCTCAACGGCGAGGAGGTGTACAGGCTCCAGTCGCCCCAGGCCGACCCGGTCAAGCCATCTTGGAAAAACATGCCGATGATCGCCTGAAAGCAAGCAATGCAATGAGCAATTTAGCAGGCGAACCACCATCGTGGACATCAAGCGCAGTGTGAGAAGACTGCTTAGATACAAGCACACCGAAACATGGATAACAGTTCAAAGAACCAAGCTCAGACGTTGCTTTGGCAACGCTTCGAGCATTAAATCAAAGAGTCAAAACTGCGGCAACAACTCTAAAGAACCGAGCTCACACCATGCACACTGCCCTGCAACTGCAACTCCCTGTTGCTTCAGCCACGCTTCGAGCGCTTGCCGCACGAATCAACGAATCAAGCTGCTGCTGAGTCGCCATCATGGCCAGCCTTCCGTTAGCCAACTCGGCCGCAAGCTTGGACTTGCGGGCCTCAGGGTCCTCGACCTTGCCCAGGAAGGTGGGGAAGCCAACACCGTAGTTGCCCGGCTCGGCGGACTCAGTGGAGTCCTTCATGGAGAACTGGCCCTCACGAGGGCCTCGGCCGTCAGTGGTGGAAGACGCCTGGAAGAACCCAGTGGTCTCGATCAGGCCGCAGAAGGCAATGATCTGAGCTCCGCCCAGCACTGGCACCCTTAGTGCACAGCGAGACATGCCATTTGACAAGCATCACTCAGTTTGTTTGACCTCAAGCCCCATTATACACTATCTGCTTGTCAACTAGCCTGTCAGCTTCACCAGAGCATTGTGCTAGAGCTGTATCCCAATGCTCATGTATTTGCTGTGAGCGTTTCAATAAAATAAGTCATGTCAGCAGCTGATTAATTCCAACTACTTACCTTGTCTTGCGCAATGCCAACATTGGTTGGTTTGATCTCGGTTTGGAATCGCTTCACAACAAAATCAAAGCAAACCAAGCGGGGATCATGGCATTTGCAGTTTGTGTTGTCCACGCGCTCAAACTCGCAAATCGCTGTAGTACGCTGAGCACACTTTGGCAGTTCCACAAGTGTAGTTTGCAAGGTGCGATTTTGCAGCTCCAGATTTTACAAACATTTTTGTCGTACAAGTGTCGTGTGCACAGTGCGCCATGGCAGTGAGCTGTGGCAGCTCCCGCTCCAAAGACACTATTTATCGGTACAAGTGCCGAATGCGAAGTGTGCATTAGCAATGCTCGTTGCTCGAAGATGTGCGTAACACTAGATTATCTCCTGGCATCAAAAACATACCTCACGTGAGCCAGCTATCAACTACTCAACCATTTGTGTATATATTATAGCATATTTATATATATATATAGATGTGTCGATACATAACATGACCAAACGACATTTAGAAGAAGCTTCCGTGGCACGGCAATTAACTCAAAGCTTGCTCTCTGAGACAACATGACAAGAATAATCCCGCGCGGGAAAACATGCGTGCACGTGTGGCGGGGGAACAGAAATTGGTCAAACAAGCGCAGCCCTCTGCACGCTTTGGGGCTACGTTCGGAGCCCTCCGAAGCCGGGGCCGTGGGCACAGCCGCGCGCACTTTTCACCGGTATGTTTTTGCGTGACAGGCACAGAACTCTCGCAAGGTTCGGTGAAGATTCCATGGCAGGCGCCGCACTTGCGCGCAATGAGGTGCAGATGTTGTTTCAGGTGCAGCGCTTTCGCACGGTCATGGCATATTTTGTGGCAGGTGCAGCAGTTTCTCAAAGTCGGGCGCAGATTTCGCGGTTGGTCCAGATTTCGCGGCAAGCGCAGCACTTTCGCGGGTGAGGTACATGCGTTGTGGCAGGCGCTGCGCTTTCGCAAGGTGAGGTACACTTTCTGCCGGTCATGCGCAGATTTCGTGGCAGGTGCAGCACTCTTGCAAGGTCAGTACAAATTTTCGCGGCAGGCGCAGCGCTTTCGGAAGATAGACAAACAAATACCCTCATTATCACGCGTCGAAGATAAACGAGTCGAGACTTTGCACAAGCAAACATGGAGGTTGTCCTTCTTTGCGGAGCCACTTTTAAGTCCAGACCAATGCAAAGTAGCTGAGCGCATATGTGCACATCTGATATTTCCAAGATGCGCCCAAGCATTCAACGTTCGGGCTGCACAATGATTGCCATTACAAAGACATAGGATCAAGTTCATGGTGTTTCCCCTGGCTCGTGGCATTGAAACTGACATGGGGAAGCCTACGTGCTAACAACTATCGGGTGAGGCTTCACGGGTAAACTTGGTAGATCACGGTTAAATTCAGTCATTCACGCGTACTTCACGGGTATTTCACGCTACTTCACGCTACTGCGTGGTATGATTGCATGATGACATCCCAGCCAGCTGATGCATGTATATGGGTCCATGATCAGGCTGTTGCAAGCCTTGCTTGTGAAATGCGTCATGTTGGGGCCTCACATAGTAACGTTGCGGTCCCGACAGGTCCAAGGACAATTTTCAA